AAATATTATTTATTTTTGCTTTATTATTTAATATAATTTTTTAATTTGATTTTCTTTTTTATTAGTTTTTACTGTGTTAAAAAGAAAAATATTTATTTGAATTCAATTTAAAAAAATTAATTGGTAAAAGACGAACACCATAATGCTATGTATGACCTCCTCGTTAACAGATCTTTCAATTAGTCTTTCGAAGGACAGTAAAGGGCTTTCCTGATAGTTGCCAGACAATTGGGTTAAGTTTCGTGATTTCCGCTAATTTAAAAACCTAATTTATTTATACTAGTTCTTCTGGCTAACTACTTTATGCATACTGCCCTACTGGGGTGTGATACATTCTTCCGAAAAATATTGTTCGCTGGCTAATTGATTGCATTTTACGCCTTTTCTTAGACTACCATTCTTACAAGCAATATTCCCTATGTATGCTTCTTTTTATAGACACTTTATGATACTTGTTTCTTCACCTCTGTCGTTTTGATTTAATTGTTACACAATGCAACTCTTGTTGCTGATTTGTTTCGGTCGACGTCATCACCATCACCGCCATCGTTACCGCCGTCAGTCATGAGCCGTCAACCATTATTCGATAGTCGCCGCTCGCGTCACAGCATCAATTTAATAAGCAACATTCATCATTTACATTTCTGCGCTTGACATTCAAATTGTATGTCGTGCCCAGTTTAGGTGGCTTTTTGATGGTTTGTTAGTTGGTGGCCTGCTGTGTAGGTGTTGCATTGTTAGCAATTATTTGTACCTTATTTTTTCGTTATTTTGCGGTTGTCGTGTTCTGGGGAAAAACTAGGCTAACACGAATTTCGTATTGAATTTTCACCACTTAATAACCAAGCAGCTAAAAACACACACACACACAGGCATAAAGCTGACAGTTGTACATATTTGATGAATGATGTCGGCGTTGCATGGGTGATGACGATTCCAGTGTATGTGGGTGTGTACCATTTAGTGTATTATTTTTGAGCGTTTATCTGGTGCGAAAATGTTATTTACTGCAGTGCAAATCGTGTCGCTGCATTTTGATCACCTATCTTGTCGTATAAACGCTGCTGTTATTTTTATTCCCCTCCAAATAGTTAGAGTACTCTTTACACTCATACATATACAGAAGTGGAATTATAACCCACAACTATTTTTTACACCTGTGCAAATAGGCGATTTTGCTACTTTTAAAACATTTGTGTAAGCCTAAGTATACACATGCATGTACGTATCTAGGTACGCCTACGCATATGCATAAATGCATGTCTGTAGCAAATAGACTTAACCTATTGAAAAATATACAAGTATTTTTTTTTTGCATGTGTTTCGAAGTATGCAGCTTTGCAATGTAGAATAGAGTGAATATTGTTTTTTTATGATGAGCTTCCTTTAGATTAAAACCCTCGGTAAAATTTTCGGAAAGCTTCCAAGACATCCAGAAATAACACGAAAAGTTCCGAAGAAACCAAATAGGTCAATCCCAAGCAGTCCCAAAAATGTAAAAAAATTGCGAAGGAAGATCCCAAGCAGTCCCAAAAATATATACATATACATATATAAGTAAATGGGAAGAAAAATTCCCCAAAAATTTGCAAAATTCCTGAAAAATACAGAGACAATTTTGGAAGGTCTCGAAAAGTCCCGAAAAGTTAAGATTACATTTTTATGAGAAGCTGTGTTTCATGGCAGAAATACACTCGGAGGTTTGCCATTGCCTGCCGAGGGACGACCACTGTTAAGAAAAAAACCTTTGTCTATATTTTTTGCGATGCTGCTTTGACCAGGGCTTGAACTCAGGTGCTGATGATATAATATAAGCGTAATATATATACTTATTTAAAATATAAATCATGTATATTCGAAAACAAAAATTTCCCTCTCCACTTTCCCATTAACAACTGAACTCGGATAAATAGCCGAGTTTGTGTCGTTGCTTTGCATGGATTTCGTGATTTAAGCGAGTGTTCTTTTGTAGCACGGTGGTTGTAAAAGAATGCATCTTCTATACCCGAGCGCACTTCTGCAGGGGTATAATAGCTTTGTTTACATAAGGTTATTTGTAACAGACAAGACGAATCGAGATAGATATAGAGAAATGCATACATACATAAATGCTCAGAATGAAAAGAGAAGTTGATTAAGCCATGTCTGTCCGTCCGGCCGTCCGTACCTTTGTTTGTGTACATGATAAATCGAGCAAAAGTTGAGAAGTTTAGTATGTAGGTTGGTATTGAAAATAGGCGAAATTGGACTGTAGCCACGCCCTCTTCGCTATAACGGTATTTTCGAGAAATGCAGACACTACGATATTTCAATAAATATCTAATCTAGTTTGTTGAAAATTGGTATGTGAAGTAGAGTTGTGGTAAAAAATAATGTTATTATGAAATTTTTGGAAAATGGACGTGACCCCGCCTACTTATGATAAACTGCTCTATCTTAGTACCCGCTTCACCAACCCTTACCAAACTCGGTGAGAGCCTTTCCTAGGGTCTAGCTAAGAAATCTGTTGAAAATCTTGTAAATCGGGCAATAACCACGCTCACCTACCATATAACGGTAATTTACAGAAACACGAAAATTGCGATAAATCAGTAACTACCGAAGCTAATGCACTAAAAGTCGGTTATTGACATTTTTTGATTATGGACGTGGCGCCCCCCACTTGTGACCACAAACGTGTATCTCGGTAACTGATTTATCAATTTCTACCAAACATTAGTACGGAAAAACAATTCGTTGAAAATTATTCAGATCGGACAAAAATTATTTCATTAACTGAGGTGCTGATTTACTCAAAGTTAATAGTGTTAATAGTTACAACAATCTGTTAACAATAAATAAGACTGCTATAGACTTTTGGGAATAGGGCGTGGCCCAACTTATGACTACAAGGCGTAACTCGGTAACCCCTTATCATTAAGTCTAACTCAGCACCCTGCTTATCATGCAAACGTAGGTTAGAGAAAATTGAAACGACGATATTTAATACCTGCGCCGGGTATATAAAGTTCGGTTATTACTGGAGAAATACCGCTCTCCCAACTACGGTCTTTCTCTGACTTTTATGAACCGATTGACATTGAGGAATAAAATTTATGGTTATATGCTTGCACAAGCCTATTTGCAGCATACACATATGTACATAAACATGTACTTTTACGGGTAAGAAATATTGCATTTGAATGTTTGCTTTATAACTGGGTGTGTGTTGAATGCCAGCCCATTTATGGTTTTAGTCGACCCATGGCCAAATGTAGCAGATTTAAAGGCACACAAATCAAATCGAAAATTATAATTTAATGAAAAATCTAATTCGGTAAGGAATTGCAATTGCAATTTTCCATATACCACTTATAAATAGTGAAGGCAGTTAAAGAGTCTCGTATACTGGCGAACTGATAGATAGACATAAAGCAACAAAGTGACAAGTAGTCGTCTGAACATCAATCTGGATGCATGTAAATAAATACCTCAAACAAAAATGCAAACAATTCGAGTGTTTTTTTTACCAGCAAATCAATAAGCGGCAAATGAACGAGACGTGCATGCAAATGTGGGCATGCAGTGGTGCAGCATATATGCACATACATATATGTATATCGTTGTTGTAAAGTACAAAACCGCGTAACTGACATTTGCTGCCAAGAATTGGATTTGCTCACACAAGCTCTTGGCTCAATCCTTATCCATTCGTCCTGAAATATACTTGCCAGAAATGCGATTGCTTTATTAGAAAGAGAACCATTTTGAAATTGGAGTGTTTTTACTCTCTAGAAAATAATTTATGCAACTTCACATACGCGGTTTTGCATTTTGTTGATATGCGGTTTTGCACTTTAACGACGATATGTACATATGAACATATAAGCATTCCGATGAGATATGCGCTTATTGCTACTATAGAATTGCGACAGCCGTCGCTTTTAGCCATTAGATGCGGCTACTTAGAGCAGCAAAGTGGCGGCACGTCTTGGAAGGCACATTCGAGGTCGGATTCTCCAATTGCAGGTGGTGGGCTAAGTAGAAAGGCCTCCAACACGTTTGTATGTGCTTACGTGTTTGCTGTTGTTGTTGGGTGCAGCGATGTGCAAAGATGAACTTATACACTTTCGTTCTCGTAACTACATTCTGGTTTTCGCATCACTGAAATGCAGGCAGACGTGCCGGCTAGCGATGCATTTGCTAAATCTTTTAATGAAAACGAGATTCTTTTTACGCTGCCATGGTTTTTGCATATCTTCCTTTAACTGATTGGATTTTCGTGTCGATGTGTGGCGTGTTACGCCCCAGGCAAACAATTGGTAATTTCCTGCTAAGTACTTCAGTGCCCGTCAGCGCAATGATGCATACTTTTCTAATGTGCGATTACCCAAGTGTCGGCCATTACTAGTTGGGTCACCAGTGCGTATGAGTCACATTTGTTTGAAGCGGTCGTCGAAATGGTTGAATGTCTTTCATCTTCTTTGGGGATTTCTGTTTGATTTGCCAAGTGTATCTGCTTGAATTTCGTTTGAAGTCTATGGTGGTGGTAGTAATTTGACAAAGCTGCTTAGTGCAAAAAAAAAAAAAAAATAAATGACAACGAAATTGAATTTAATGGCAGTAGCAGCCATATGCAAAAATATCGTATTGCCTTAACCTTGAATTCCAAGAGTGTGTTGAACGCGTTAGCTGGCCAAAAGCTCAAAATATTGCTGCAATTTTGTGTCGTTTGAATGGTATGACATATTTCTTTTAATGATCGCCTCCGGACGTACAAAATGGTTTTGCTTATGCATTCTGTGTTGGAGGAATCATGTGGTCGTGTGTTGGAATGTATTTTTGTTACTGGGTGTGAGTGCGTCATTAAGCGTTAAATTAACTCAAATTTTGTGCAAACATTTGTGGAAATTATCAAATAACCGCAATGACATTTAATGGCTTGTATATTTTTGCATGAATATATAAAATAAATTGTCAACAATACATTTATGTTGCTTCTTCATTATTTTTATTTGCAGTTCAATTTTGTTGGCAGAATTTTGGGTCCACGTGGCATGACAGCTAAGCAATTGGAACAAGAGACTGGTTGTAAAATAATGGTTCGAGGCAAAGGCTCGATGAGAGATAAAAAGAAGGTGAGTGAAAGTGAAATACGAAATACAATGTATTCAGCAGCAGACATAACAATTATAAGAGAAAAGAATAAATTCAATCAATAATTATTACATTAAGATAATAAAAAATTTTCGATTCATCTATAATTATTATTCAGTGACTTATATTACAAAAGTCCTTCAGTTCTAATTATCAGAGAGATAAATATTTTTAAGTCTGCAAAGACTTTTATTTTGAGACTTATTTTAATAAAAGTCGTTTCATAATAATTATGAGTGCGAACAAATTTTTAAAGTCTTAAAAGACGGGGCTTGTTCAGGACCAGTTGGCGACCAGTACGGAACTATTCGGGGAAATGAAAATAAAAAAGCACACATTTCTATATAAAGCAAAACTCTCTGGGAAGACCATAGGTTTGGTCGTCAAAACCCAGCGACAATTATCTCTTAGATGTCAGATAGTAAGAAAAAATGCTCCCAAATTCTCTCTCAAGTAGTGAAAGAAGCAAATTTCTACACGAACGCAAATTTGCAGGAATTTGCAAATTACTCTGCCAGCTAGTGTCCACGGTTGCATTTCAAACATAATAATAGAATTTTGAAAATTCTTTCAGAGGGGCAAAAACAAAAATCTACATGCATATTTCTTGCTAGTCCGACCTTCTATAACATAAATTTCAATTTCTTTGTCATAGTAACTCGGGTTTTCTAAATGGATTCTGGTTGCGATTGCATTCGGATTACAAATACAGTGTTTTTCAGCCGAGTAACTTTAAAATCATACACTTACACTTAGGTCTTTTATTATGCGGTATAGTCGCATAAAAAAAAATCCGCATATAAAAGTTCTTTATTTTCATACATAAACAGGGGATGCGTTCCAGCATTTCAAAAAACAGCATAAATTCAGATACTCCATGTAAAAAATTCCAAAAAACCGCATAAAAAATCCAGTGAAGCAATATTAAGCAAAACAAAAGAATTTATTTCTTCACTTCAACACCTATTATTCCATGTAAAACTGAACATTAATGAATAAAATAAAATCAAATCCGGATTTTAACAAAAAATAAAATAAAATAATAAATAAATAAATACCACAATAAATACATGAATTATGTAAGAATACAAAGACAAATTAATTATCAGAAGCATTGTCTCTTACACACTGAAAAAGGTAATAACAACTCTCAAAAAAGTAAAATCGCAACAGCGAAAAATGGTTTGAAAATCCGCTTAAAAAATCGCATAAAATGAGACCTAAGTGCAATTACCTAAAATTAATTAAGTAAACAAGTATTTTATTCCATCTGCTCTGATTCGCAAAGCTGCCAGTTTTAGTAAAAAAAAAATCTCTTAATATTTACTATTCCCCTAAGAACAGTCCAAAAGCAAATGTAACTAGTCACCCGAAATTGCTGAAAGAGACATTGTGGCAATAATTGCGAGGAAAACCACAGTTGTGGATGGCACCACTTGTTTGCCACCACTTGTTTGCCACGCCAGAAATGTAGTTTTTTACTTGCGAGCCATAAGCAGAAAGGTGCAGTAATTCTACTAGCACACCAGTGAATTTATTTTTATAATGTAAAGGGACTCTAGTTCTTCAATGCTTCATAAATAATTTTAGATATTCTATCATTCGTTTATTGCTTTTTCAACCACTCAATCGTATCAAAATTTGGCAAGTCTATAAAATATATCAACATTGTATTGTGTTCTTTAAGTCAAGCATAATTTTGTTACATATCGTACCTAATAACCCTGCAAACCAAAGTTCCCGAAATCTTAAGGAAATCGTTAGGAGTGTCTGACTATTTTTTTTTACGAATTTTCAAAGGAAATTATATGAAGGGGTTGACACGAACTCGTAAAGAAATTTCTGTACGAAAAATAAAGAAAATTCTGGAAAAATTCTGAAAGATATTCTTCACATAGCAGCATTATTTTCGTTGCTTCACAGATTTTCTTCCGAAATTTCGTAAAAGAATGGAAGTGTGCGTAATTTATTTCATTTTAGAAAATTCGGCAAAAAATCGAATTAAATGTTAACGATTCTTTAAAATTTCTTTACAATGCAGAATACTCTGAAAAAATGGTTTGCAGGGAAGTGTAGTGTTTTCTATGCATTCAGAATACTACTTACATAGATGTAAATTACAGGTTCATAGGCACTGCCCTAATGCAACTAAGTAAATAAATATTGCAGCAAAGTCACGTACATCAGCAATATTTTCATACATTTTTCATCGTTTTATGTTGTTTTCATCGTTCACTACGTGGGTGTTCGAAAAACACCACAGTTACGCCTGACGATTTCATAGAACCTCCCATGTGATTCTCTAGTTCGTCGTGGTTGCGTTTTATTTCTAAATGCTCATAAAAACATATTTGTTTCGTAAATTTATTGGTTTTCTAATGACATAAATTCATTTTTCTCGAGATTATTACTAAAGATTTTGTTTTGGCAAATTCTGTTTCTTATATAGATACATACATACTCGTACTTATGTACGTACATACATGTGTTTGTATGAATGTGTGCATGTATGTATATATTTATTGAAGCAATATGTAAATTCGTACATATGCACACGCTTGGAAAATTTGGTTTTGAATTTTTTGACAATATGTGACAGATGTCGTTCTAATTAAAAACTTTAAATGTTTTTAATCGCTATACAAATGTGGGTGGACGCAGTCTTCTGATTCCGGCCCTGGCATGCAAGCATCTAAATAGTATTAGATACATACATATGTGTGTATGTAAGTATTTTTGGTCATCAGCAGACAAAAAAGTATTAACATGAAGACCTGCCTCTTTTTCGAAAGAGCTATTGAAGTATTTGTAAATGTATGTACATATATGTACATACTTATAGTAGGTGAGCCCAAGAGGGGATTCGAGGATTTCCTCGAGCGCATCAGATAAAGAAATGGTGAGTTAATCACATGCTGAAAAGTGTGCATTTCAATAATCTGACGATTTGAGCATGACGCAAGGGATTGGGGGGTCGCAAACTTGCAAAAAAAAAAAACGTTACCTTCACATTCTCGAGCGCGCCCAACGCGCTGAAGGATAACGGGAAGTATGTAATCTGACGATTTCCACATGCCGGAGTAACGAAAATCGTCAACAAAGATTAGCGCGTGCACTTACTGTTTTTCAAAACTACTACAGATTTTTCTGCGAAATTTCTCTACTGTATGTAAATCTGACGCGCTCTAGTAAATCCAAATGGCGATTTTTTTTTTGCATCTTCATGAAGACGTCACGAGCTTGCGTCACATCTGAATCGTCAGATTATTGAATGGGAGGTTCATTCGCGCCCATTTAACATCCCTTGTGAATATCTGACGCGCTCGAGTAAATTTTTTTTGTCACCCATTTTTGACCCTTCCGTACGCCCACTACCACCGTGCAAACCGACAGATTAGCATATCTTCTTCATCAGAAACGCGTTTGATTTATTCACTATCAATATCTGACGCGCTCGAGTAAATCCATGTAACTGTTTTTTTTTTTATATTTTTACATCCTCCACCCACCGCTGTAAGGAAAAACTTCACATGACCTTTCTTTCTTCCCATCATATAGTCTTCAAAATCCAATAGGTCAAAATGACGCACGAGTAAATACTTTTTATGCTCTCACCGCTGGGATTGTTCTATAGCGAAAAAATACATGTATGCACCCCTATTTTTTTATTTGGAAATCAAAAAATATTCAGCGGTCGCTCAAAGCGATCAAAGTTTTCCATGTATGTGCTAGTCTCACCACTGGCGGCAATACGAAGCTTACGTTGCCAAAATTAGACTTAGCCGCAGCCGAGGGTCTGCTTACAGGTCAAGTTGCCATAGAAATGCACGCGAAGAGGTCAGGGGTCCCCCATAACGACTTATTTAAAAATTAAGGAGAGTCAGAAACGTTGTGGCACCTGTTATACAAATGCTTCGCACTTTGTAAAAGAAGACGAAAGTTCATGGGTTCAAGATTTTTCGAAGACCTAACCGACAGCCGAGGTAGGGTTTCACGAAATCCGCACGATGGTTTTGAGTAGGAGGGTTCTAACGATTCGCGTGGTATCACCTAGCCTTGGTACTGATAAAAAATACCGTTTTGTTTTATTTTTGAATTGCCTTGGTTCTGAAACCTTACATACATTCATATGTATTCTCATGTACATGTACATATATTTATGTGCAATGAAAACATTGGCGCGTATTCATATTCATATTTAGTACTCAACTAAGTCGAAACTATTCTAAGTCACAACTAAAGCTATTCATAGTCGCCTTAGTTTCGACTTTTCTGGCTAAGTACCAACTTAAAATTTAGTTTCGGCTGCAGCTGCAGTCGTAACTAGGAAGAAGTATTTTATCAAATTAAGGGAAAACAGACGAAATATGTAAAAATTAAGTTAGTGGAGGGTGATTTTGATAATATTGAATAATCTCCCATTAAAATTTACAAAGATCGATACATTTTAATCGGAAGATGAAATTAAATGCGTATTACAATTCGAATAAAGCTACATCACAACTTTATAATTGGAATAATTTATATAAATCTTCAAATAATAAGTCAGTTTCACGCTAGTTCTTTTAAAGTAAATTTGTGCATAACATTTAGATATCTACTATTTGTATGTTCCACAGCATGCTTTCGATAAACATCGACTTCACATCACTGCGGTTGTTCTGGGTATTTCACACAATTAACAAGAAAATGATACCTTATCCTTTTGCATAATCATGCAATGCAAATAAAAATTACATAAACGGATGATCAAACTTGATATTATTTAATAAAAATTTAATTTTTCCAAAATATCGTAAAGAAAAATCGATACATTTTCACACTCGTTTTGCTATATCGTAAACTAAGTCGAAACTACTTAGTAGAAGTCTGAAATGCGACTATGAATAGAGGTAAATTTTAAGTTGGTACTTAAATTTAAGTTGCAACTTTGTTAGTTTCGAGTTAGTAGCTGGACTATGAATACGCGCCATTATATCTA